TGGGTCTGCTGCTGGTGCTTGCTGCAGGAACGAAGTCGACGGGTGCTGCCTGTGCCCCTGCACCCGCTGCTGCTGCTGCTGCTGCTGCAGCCGATGCTGCTGCTGCTGCTGCTGCTGCTGCTGCAGCAGGTGTTGATGGTGGCTGTCTCGCGTTCTATGGTGTGTATGATGGCGGGGCAAGGCTCCGCTGATTGCTCGTGCTGCAGCAGCTCCAGCAGCAGCCGAAGCAGCAGCAGCATCAGCAGCAGCAACGAGATGCTGCAGTGTTTGTGGCTCCCAGTGTGCAGCTCTAACAAAGACAGAACCCAAGGTATCAGCTAACCCTAGATAAGCATAGAAGCAGCCTTGCTGCAGTGAATGCCAGTATGCTTCTGTAGGCAGCAGGTCTAGATAGATGCTGCTGAAGCGCAGCATCTCTGATCGTATGGTGTGGGGGTGTTGTTTCATTTTATTATAAGGTTGCTCTTTGTAGTTTTTTATTGTTATTGTTTCCATCTCTCTATCGTAATACTGCTGCTGCTGCTCCTCCTCTAGGCGTGCTGCACCCCCACCACCCAGTAGCCGCTGCAGCAGCAACCATACACCTGGCTGCTTCAGCAGACGCAGCATACGGTGACCTTGCTGCTGTTGTGTTGGTGCTGCTGCGATGACCTGCTGCTGCAGCAGCTGCAGCAACATATCCGCCTTGGGTGAGGATAGCTGCTGCAGCTCTTTAGCACACTGCAGCAGCAACCCGCCAGGTTTACAATTGGGTATTGCTGCTTCTGCTGCTGCTGCTCCTGCTGCTCCTGCTGCTCCTGCTGCTGCTGCAGCAGCAGCAGCAAAAGCCTCGAAATCCTGCTGCCTCAGCCCCAGCTTAAAGGAGCAGTTTTCTTCTGTTGCTGCTGAGGGGCCCTCCGTCAGCACCGCCTGCTGCATCCCCGCATATACTTTATCTACAGCAGCAGCAAGAAGGTCTGCTGCTGCAGCAACCCCAAGCCAAGCAGCAGCATCAATAGAGTCAAAAGAAAGTAACTGAGCTACAGTAGCTTCGTCTCTATGGGGATCTCTATCCACTCTGCTGG